ACCCTTAATTCGAGATATTTCTGAGCAGACACGGTCTTATCTAATAACAACACTGAACATATGCTTTTTTTCTGAGGCAGATTTCTCCTGTGAAAGCTGAACTTTTTTTTCTCTTCCTTCAAAGTAAATATGTGCTCAGGAAGGAGTAATAAGAACTTAGACTGTAGGGAGCCTGCTGAATATTAGTGAAATTAGTACTCTGTGGATGAAATCTTTGTTCTGGTCTGTTTGTGGAGTTTGAAATAAAAGCACAAACCATGACGACTGTATGTTGCATGCATGTGTGAAGTTTAGAATGTATATATTCATAGGTTCCCTTTCTTTCCCCCTCCCCCTTTTAACATGTAGATTTATGAGGAATCAAAGATGAACTTGGAGCAGGAGAGGCCTTTTGTCTGCAGTGCCCCAGGCTGCTCACAGGTGAGTGGAGTCAGCGGTGATATTAATTGAGTCCTCCGCACTAGCTCTGGCTTGTATAATGCCTCCTGATATATTAACACATGTCTAATAATAATATGTATGTCAGATTTTTTTGTGTTTTTTTTTAAGTTCTTCTCCCCCTCAATTCCCTCCTTCCCCATAAGACATTATTACAAAATATTTTAAGCAAATACAACAGCCAGGCAAATGTGAGTCAGTAGAAGTGCTTCTCAAGCTGCTTCTGTGCCTTCTCTTGTCTCCAAGCCTAATGTTTCAAGCCAGTTATTGCAAATTCCTTTAGTGACTAACAAGAGGACACACTAGGCAGGACACATTTGTCTGTCTTCTGCCTAGATGTATGATGGAATATATTGTGTTTACTATTGAATGAGGTAACCCTCCTATTTCTTTCTATTTTAAATACTTAAATATGCCATTAGCTGGTTTTTATTTATTTATTTAATTATAATCTTTAAGACATCTTCCGACTAAACATTTTCTATAGAAAATGCAGCCAGTAGATAAATTTTGCCCCAGGATGTACATTTGGAATTCCTGTCCTGTTGATTGGTGGTCTGCTGTATGTCTCTGAGGGTCTAATCTGACCTGAAACATTAGATGTTTAATGAGCTTAAAAAACCTGAAGTGACAAGGATTTTCCCTGCTTAGATTTGAATTGGGGTTTATGTGTTTTTTTGGTGATTTTGCAGTGGTGAGGGAAGTTCCATGTATGACACTTTTAACCCTAAGTCAGTTTAGTGATGAGTTTCTAAGTAAAATCTTCAGGCAAGGGCATCTTTTGGGCTTTTGCCACATGCTTCCTGTATGCATCTGTTTTAAGTGATTTAGCGTACCCATTTCCCAGAGTCCTCCTCTCCTAATTAGTGCAATCTTTTCCTGCTTCAGCTGTATGCTGGGAGTTTTCCACTGGCCAATGTTTTTACAGCCCTTTAGATTCTTCTGGCAGAGCGATGAATGACTGTTACTGGAGCGTCGATGTTGATTTTGCCAAGAGCTGAAATAGGGAAAGGGAGAAGGTCCAGTTAAGGACTTCCTAAGCAGCTTTGCTGTTTCACTAAGTGGGAGCTTTTCTATGGGTGTCAGAGTGCATCTTATGGATTATCTCTCTGGTCAAGAATGTGTCCCTTTAGATCTCCACATGCAGAGTTAAACTTTACTATTCTGTCACAGAAGTAGAATAAAAGTTTCCGAATTTTATAGTCAAGTTTTATTTACCTTTGTGATGATACTTGAAACTAAATTCCACTGAAATCAGTGGGCTTGAGTGTTTTCGTATCAACTATTAATTAATTTCTTCACTGGAGGAGCAGCTGGTCCAAACAAGCTCTTTCAGATGTTCAGAGAGCAAGTTTGTTGGATGCTGTTACAATTTGGAAAGACAAGCAACATGGGTGTGACTTCATTGTAAAAAAAATTTACTTTCCCATTTCAAAACATGGCCTATCTTTATTGTAAATGAGGACTTGACATAAGTGCATGGTGCAGAGCTGCTATCCAGCGAAACTGGCTGGGGACTGGCTTCTCTCTTGGCCAGTGTGGATGTGTACTGAGGGAATTGACCTTCTGCACAAGGAAGAAAGTAGACTTAGAAGAAAGAGAAGTCTGGGCTGGAGGAATAGCTTCTTCTCTGTTGCCATATGCCCTCTTTAAGCTGGTTTATTTATCCTGAAGATACAGCATAACATCCATAAAGGAAAATCAATTTTCAAGACAAAAAAAAAGTGTTGGGTTTTTTTTTCCCTTTACAATTTCACTGAGCAAAATCCTTCTCATATATTCCCTTTGTTCTTAACATAAATTTCTAGTGCTGAATTTCTTCCAGATAAGTGAGCAATGAACCAGGATTTCACAGTGAGGAAAAGGACTGGGCTTTTTTTCCCCAGATAATTAATTCCATTATTTCTGCTGCTCTGTCTATTGGCCTAGAGAGATTCTCAGAATGTGTAACATACAGCAACTATTCATACTGTAGCCACAAGTAAAGTCACTTAGCCAAACATATACTGTGTTAAAAACATTGAGTCCCTTAAACTTTGTTGTGGCCATTTTTTTTTGCAATCTCCTATGTACCTGTTGCTTTAAGAACCTGTTCTTAATTTGTCTTTTTTTTCCTCAAGCCTTGATGATACAACTTTTGGGACTTTGCTAGTCCTGAAATAACCCTGTTAAAACTAATGCAGTAGCAAAGGTCTGTGTATGCATGTTCTGGTGAAGGAAGTTTTACAGAACCAGTCTGTTTTTGAGCCCAAGTGTGCAAGTGCTTGAACATTCGTTCAAGCTCGTCTCTTCTTTGTCTTGTTCAAAAGAAGCTGTTTCTTGTAGAAGTCTGTTATCAGACTATAAAACAAACTTAGCACGCTGGTTAGTTTCTTACAAACAATATCTCTCCATCTTCTCTGCTTGACAAAGGAAAAAGATTTAATTTAGTATCATGAAGGGTTATAACCAGTTGCTCTAAAACTGAGCACCATTGCATGGCCACCTTGAATCAAGTCAAACTATCAGACACTTGCAAAATTAAAGTTGTATTTTGCCTGAATACTTTTGGATAGGGAAAAGCTGGCTTATTTGCTTATTTTTTTTGCTGTTCATCAAATATAGGTTACAGAAAGACACAAAAGCAAAAAAATCCAGTAAAGTGATTTAAGATTTGCCTCATTACTTTGCATTTGCCATGGGCTAAGAGCACATGCAACAGCAGTTATCACAGATCCTCAGGCGCGTGGTGACTTGTGAGACTGTGGTAGCTGGAGCGGGTGTCTGAGACCCTTAGAATCCAAAACTTGGTCTGCAATTTTTTTCAAGCAAATGCATAACACCTTACAGTTTGCCACCTCAGAAAGCACAGCAGCAAATATGTTTCTAAATCAAGTACAGCTATTTGTTACTCATACTTACTTGCATTTTCAAATATTCTTTTTCCTGTGCCATTTGGACACATTTCTAGCTGGATAAATTTCTTTCTCTCTCTCATTTTTGATAATCTGTCCAATGCCAAAAGTTTATTAGAAAATTAAATTCTTCTTTTTTTTTTCCCTTTTTTTTCTCTCTTCCTCTCTCTCTCTCTGTATTTGCCTGACAGCGTTTTCCAACAGAGGATCATCTGATGATTCACAGGCACAAACATGAAATGACTTTGAAGTTTCCTTCAATAAAAACAGATAATATGTTATCAGGTAAGAAGACATGAATTCAAGAGTCAAGATAACTATTCAGATGATGTTGAAAGCATGACTCCTACTGGAAAGCTATTGGCAAAATGCCTCCAGGATTTGTTTTAAAGATCCCCAGCTCCAATTAAATAATAAGTAGAGATGGAATAAGGTAGAATGCATATCTGGACAAAAAGACAGTTGCCATTCTTATGCCTTCATACAGGTTTGGCATGAGAGGGAGTGAAATTGTTGAACCTCAGCCATGCTGGCAGCTCTATCATTGACTCCCATGTCAACATGCTAGTGAAATAGAGGCACTTAAGCACATGTCACCTGAGAACCCAGCAGCAAGCACGTTATTGAAGTGCATTTGTGTTGTTCCTCTAAGACTCTCTATTTAAGCTGGACAAGCTCACTTCTGCAAATGAAACAGGCCACATTGTATGAGCCACCTTTATCGTGACTCAAGAACTTCCCACTGTAAATAGCCATAACCAGAAAGGTGAAGCAGTGGGTAATATTCAGTCCTCTTTCCCCCAAAGGTAACCAACTGTCTCTGCACTTCCCCCATTATACATGGGGGTTATGTGGTATTATGTGCAGTTACACCCCGTAGTTTCTTATGTAGTATTTTTCTTATGTAGTCTTTTCCTACTTTTGTCTGTGTAGCCACACATAGATGGCTTGTTGGCCTTCAGCAAGTGCTAGGTAAGGTCAAGCTAGCCTTAATTTTACCACTTCTCTCCTATTCCCTTTCCTATTGTTTATTCTTTGGGCTATAGTAATGGATTGTTTAGAATAAGATCACTAGGATTTTTCAGATTTCAAAGCAATTGTAGAAAAAAACCCCTATGATGCCAATGTGTGTGCAGATGTTAACCAGTGTTTGATATTTATCTTTTGCAATGGACTTCTTCAAGGTAAATTGTGCCATTTTAGGTGCAAATATTTAATGAGTAAAGGGTCTCCAGCAGGCTAACTCTTTCATGGATAAATTGTTTCCATTTTTATGAAAATCATAATTAGGTAACAACAGCTTGCAAATATTTGATTTAGGCTTTTCCCAAATAGAATTTAGTTTGCTTTTACATTTGAAAAGGCCACAGCGGACTAAGTTAAGAAAAAAACTGTACACAAGGTGTTGAAGAGTAGGGCTTGTACAGTGCCTGCATGCCAGCTATGCTCACAGAATCATGTGTTTGCAAGCATGAGTGAGAAAATGCTGCTTTCACATTTGGCTGTGTCCTCTGGCAGTGAAACTGCTTGAAGATATCTGTCCTGTGGGCACATTCACCCTGTGCAAGTGCTGGCTTTTGTTACAGCTTTCTGTTTGGCAAGGCTTTTGCTTGAGGGCAGTTTCTAAGAAGTCTATTCTGTCATCAGGAGTCCCCTGAGTGTAGAGTAGCTCCATTTATGTTTGGTAACTTCTGTGATTTAGCTGTGCTGCTCCTTCCAATGTGTTGCTTTCCCATACAAAAAGAACGAGTGTCTTCCAGCACTGCCACCGGTACTGGGGCCCCTGGACCTGCAGGTTGCCAACAGTATATACTAATGCAGAATTTTGTGGCCAGAAAGACTGCAGAATTGCTTCTAAGAGATGTATTCTGCAACAATACTCTGTAATAGTGAGAGAGTAAAAAGCTGCACATGTTCTCAAAGGCTGTGGCCAATGTGCCTGACTGTAATGGCCTGGCAACTTGGTGCTGCTGTATTGATTTCTTTTTTTGTGTCCGTTTGCTGGATTTGTTTGGCATTTTGCAATCCTTACTCTGGAAGCATCATAGATCATCTACTCTCTGCAGGGAGACATTGAAAAATAGTTGTTTCATTACCCACCGAAACCCTGGGGAAATCTAAATACCTTGAAGTTTAAGATGTTTTATTCTTAGATTTCATAATGAAAAATTAATGATATATGGGGGAAAGAGACTTTTAGACATTTATCTTCATGTCTTCCTTTTTTTTTTTTCATTTTTGCTTATTTGACTATTTTTTTTCTTCAAATTGTTTCTGTCATCAGTAGGTTCAAAGAATTGCAGCAGCAACTGCCCTGTAATAAACCAGGTGCAGTGTTGGGTTTTTTTGCCTCTTTTTCTTGAGCTGCCTAGAAGTTGCACTTTCTTGGCTTTTTTTCCAGTGTGTTGTATACTACTTTTAATGTGTTGTATTTGATTCATCCTTTAGGTAGGCACTAAAACTGAGGGACTGTTGGTCTTGTACCAACATAGCATCTTAGAAACTAAGCAAAATATGGCTTAGGAAGAAGGAACTTATTTCTTGTGTGAAATCCGTGTTGAGGTCTGAAATATCAAATTCTAAGGGAGAGGTAAAGTTGCGTTATATGTAAAGTTGTATTTATTATGTAGGTGGGATCACAGTTTAAAAACCAGTGTTTCATGACCTGATCAAAACTATTGGTGCTATGCTGATTTATCAGGAATGTCTATCCAGGAGTTTCCCTGTTAACAAGAAGCTCCACTATGTTTTCAACCATTTTTTAATGTTGGCTTAAGAAGAACAAGTTATATTAAATATGATGACTCTTGAACCAATTCAGAAACTCCAGGTACATACATATGTGAAATAGTTTTCAGTTCTCTGAGTGTATAAACAGAAGGGAAGTCTGCTAGAGGCATTTCAATAAAGTGCAAGTGATACTTCTGTTGGACAACTTGACATTACAATTTTGTCTTTTAAAATTAATGTTATTTGTTCCTTTTTGTGTATGTATTTTATTTTTGTTTGTTCGAAAGTCATGTTGTGAGTATGGATTGAGACTCATTGATGTTTTCCATTTCCATCTTTCCCAGCCAAAAAAGAGCTGTTTGAGATAACACAGAATATCTTGTGTAAGTTTTGCATGCTAGTCATCATTGCAGGCCACTGTAGTTAAATTGGCTGAAATAGGTGTCATATCTTTGCTGTTGTGCTAACTGAACATTGATTGCATTCCTTTGAAACTCTGTAGTTTGTTGTGTGTCAAAGCTTTTGTGTTTTAACACGAATATATTAATGTCTGTGGAACAGATTGTTCCCTCCAGGTAAGAACAAAAAGCCCTGTGGAACCGAACTTTAGGATCTGGGTATTATCCACATAGAAACCTTTTTTATTCCTGATTATATTTACTAAAATTCGATCTTCTAGAGTTTTGGTGATAAAACCCACCGTGGAGATAAGAGTAGTATTCCCTAGATGAAAAAGGTGCATGTGCTAAAGGTGGTGCAAATGTATTCTTTTTCCCAGGTAATACCCGTGCCAGTGAGGTAACTTACGTCATCCTTGGTTGGCTTAATTCTTTTCTCCTTGTAGTTTACACAGGGAGGTTTATCTAGGCATGAGTTTTGTGGAGTGCAAATTGATTTGATATAAGGACAAATACTGTTTGTATTTTTCCTGTTTGTTTCTGTGTCCCTTGCTTTACCAAATAATTAAATGAAAAAGTTTCTAACATTCTACTGGTCAGGCTTGGAGTGATAAGAAGACTTAAAAAATGTGTTGTACCCAGTATGTGTGCCCCCATAAAAAGACCAACCAGTACTTTAAACAATACATATTTAAGCAGTAAAGTTCTTGGTAGCTGTTATCTGGGTGGGGGCAGTTCCACCATGTACAGCTAGGTGCACCTCTTCTTCCTTTCCTCTTTCATCACCTGTTTGAGGCGTAATGACCTTGAGCTTCTTGGTGCACTTGGGTAGAAACTTGCCAAATCAATGAAGAAGGACATTCTCAGGACATTCCACTTTCCTTGTGGCTGCTTGATGGGCAGCCCTTCAAATTTCCATGCTAGCCCTATTACCCTGACTTTGTTATCATTATATGAAAGTACAACATGGGTAAGTGTATAACTTCAACAGAGCCCACAGCTGAACAAGCCAAATGCCTGTTATTACAACACATCAGACTAAACATTTTTTTTTAAAAGATGAAGAATCAAGTTACACACTTTGGAGCTGTGCTGTTAGATATCTTTTACTGAATCAGAAATAATTTTTTGTTTCCAAATAAAAGCTTGTTTCATATAACTGTCCTTTGGTTTTCTAGGGAATTTTAAAACTGGTATCATGCTTTAAAGTTTTATTTTGTGCTTTGAGGGATGAAACTCAAGGATTCAAGGTAGTTTTGCAAAGCACATTCTGAATGATTCAAGTTAAATTTCTATATAGCAAGCTGATGTTGTGTTTCCTGTGCTGTTGTTTTAAAAGCAATATATTGAGACTAAGTGTCCTTTCTGAGACTACTATTTCAACCCCCACATCACCAAACAAACAACAACAAAGAAACCTCCATGCATTGCCAAACATAATGAATATATAATGGAATCTTTTGAATTTACTGAACACTTCAAATTCCCCATTGCCTTACAGTATATATTTTTTAATGAGTCCAGAAAATTAGATAGCACTTCAGACATTGAGGACACGTTTTGAAAATTGTCAGCAACCAAAATACAGAAGTATACAGAAGTATACAGAAGTATATCAGGCTCTGGTCAGAATCTGATTGCTGAGTGCTTCTGAAATCCTCTCCTGTAAGATACAGTAGGTTAACTTGGAGTCTGCATGGGTGAGACCACTTGGTCTTGCTCTAGGGTTTACATATGGTCCATTTAAAATTTTGAGGTATGTTTAAGCTTAATGTTTCTTGCAGCCTCCCTGGTCATGACTATGTCATCATAGAGGCTGATTATTCACCTGAAGAATAGGCTGAACAAAATATTTATTGCCTATCTGAAGCTTGACAAGTTCCATGTTCAAGCTGGTAATAAAAGTGAGATAGAAATAACTTCCATAGTAATGATCAGATGACAGGTTCACCTATGAAGTGACAGTTGGCTAGAGGTAGATGCCTTAAGGCATAGTAAACTGGTTCTGGAGGGTGGAACTAGTTGAGGATGGAAAGAGTTTTCTATTTTGTACAATGGGACTGGTTTGGGGTGACTGGTCAGTATAACAGGCAGATACCTAGGGTTAACCTAGACAAACCTGTATGCCAAGCTGCCCAATTCAAAATACAGCATGGGACATTATTGTTCTGGACTGTGTGGGTAGCAGTGTGCCTGTAGGACAGCTTCCTACATAATGTGT